GTGCACGGGGATGAACGACAAACAAGAGCGGTTTTCCATGGCTTTCTCTCACCAGGGCACCTTGGAGACAATCTTACCCTGGCTTTTATGGCTCACCATAGTGCGTCCAAACAACAAATATGCAGGGAGGATGAAGCACAACCCCCCACGCAGACCAGATAAATATGTGAAAATGACAGTATTTGTTTTCTTTTCATTTGGGATCTGTTATGACAGTCTGCATAAATAATGCACCTTCAGGAAATATTTACAGAACACATATTGGTCTATATCTGACTGTGTGTGTGTGTGTGTGTGTGTGTGTGTGTGTGTGTGTGTGTGTGTGTGTGTGTGTGTGTGTGTGTGTGTGTGTGAGGCTGTTTCTTTTAACATTATTTCAGCTAGGTCCCGTGCCTTGAAGTGAGCCTGCTTTTAATGAGTACTACCGCTTACAGAGGCATCAATGCTTCTTTAGTTTGCCTTCCCAGAGGCATTATCAGCCATTGACAACTGGTTGAATGCTGCTCTCTATTTAAGCACACTATCCTGTCAGCACTGGCAGTTGATGGACAGAGTTGTACAAAAACTACCTTCCAATATTTATCTCATTGTAAGCGAATAGCTTAAAAGAGACTCAGTGAAAGCGAAGGACACATTGCACAGTAAAGAATGCAAAGGCGTGGACGAATGTCTGCATTTTTCCCCTTGAACCGAAACAAGACAGCTGAACGAAAGAGTTCTCAGCCTGATAAATTTTGGTATGTGGTGAATTTTGGTATCTTTTAAAAACATTTGTAGCGAAAACATCACTTTGTAAGTAGAAGAAAACATTGTGGCATTTCTGTAATATTTCTGGAAGATGTTGTATTTACTTTTTATGGTTGATTTAATGGAAGAAAATATATAATTTTATATAAGAAAAAACTTAATATGGTAAAGTAGTAAAATGACTGTAATATCTGCCATTTTTCTAATACACTGTCCAGAATGATTTACAGTATGTGTGGATAGTTTCTCTGTATGCACCCTGAATCTGAGTTTAAGATACGTATGATACATATTACAACTACTGTGCAACTTACAGTGGACCTAAAATTCATTTTAGGCAGATAGTGGATTATGTGAAAGTCCTCCACCCACTTTTACTTAATCCATGAAATAAACCTTTTACAAAAACAAAGGCTTCTAAAGTTCTAAAGAAATCATGGCGATCTCTTGATCAATAGAAAAAAGTCCCACATCCACCTCTTGGAATTAAAAATACATTTTCCATTATGGTCCATTAAGGAACACAATACATTTCATTAATGTGAAGAATCATATAACATCCTCTACTGCTCTGATTTCTCTTTCTAACTAGTCAATGCAACCTCTCTCTACAGCTGTCACATGAATAGTGCAATGTTGGCAGACAATTCTGACCTGTGTCTCCCCCCACATCCCACCATCTATCTAGGTTATCAAAGTCTGTTTTTCTTAGCTTCCAGTAATTCCAGCAGTCAGAAAAAGACTGACAGAAAGGCTCATCATGAATCAGATTCACATGAAATTGCCAGTGTGAGCAGTGTCGACAGCATGCCAGTAGCGAGATGTCCGAGAGTCCTAAATGATGATCTGAAAACCAACAGGAGAAGTTACTGCCCTAATCAATTTGCTGTTATGTATCTGATTAACGTAAATCCAATCAAGTCTAGCTGTCCTCACACTACCCTCAGACACACTCATATGTGCACTGCTTCCTCCAGACATCCAAATGTCCACAAGATCATTTTCACCAGTAATTGTTGACAGGAGAGAGGCTGAAGGTGGACGAGGCTCGCCATAAGCCAAAGGATGTGTGGTGCAATTACAGTCCCCATCAACCACCGCCACTGAGTTACTGCTGCACTGTTTTCATTTGTTGTTAAAGTTATGAAATAGCTAACACAATCAGTACTGCTGTTGTGGGCACAAATGTTTATGAACACGCACTGTATACCTCTAATTACAGCCTCTACTATTTGGGTCCTACCCTGCTCTGCTTCATTTGCTGTAATGTACTTGTATTTCCTTTAGAAATACTTCTCACCCTTTTTTTATCACAACCCCTATTTAAGTTTAAACTTCCAACTCTTAAACCTCTCATATTTAATAGAGACAGGAAGACGGTGAAAGCTTTATGAGAGAGACCACCTTCAGTGCTCCAGGCATCTTACTGCACTTTTAGAAGATTTTTCCTTGTTTCTTCCTGCTCAGTTTAGTCAGTATCTTTTTTAGACCTAACCTTTTTGCTTGCTCAGCTGTTTATAGCTGACCACTCTCCTTAAGGTTATAAGATTTTATAGACTGCTCAACCCTTGGGGAAAAAATCGGTAACTTTAATGGATTGTCTGCCAAAAGTTCCATCTAGTAATTCGATGATATCTTATAAGGAATATGACCATTGATTTGGGTCTTTCGTCTTGTCATCCTTGAGCATGGGATTTTACCATTTTCAACATTTGAGCAGCCTGCAACTGTGTTCTGATTTTCAGCCCTACTTGTCACCGCTGTCTGTTAGTGTCTCGGCTTTCCTCCACATTTTCCTTGTCATTCCTGTCAGACTGTCTATCCTTCACCTCATCAACACATTGCACCATTCCCTCGTCAGTTTGTGGGGCACCAGTTGTGACCTCCACTGTTTCCTGCTGCATTACTTGCAGGTTGCTTGTGACCAGTTCCCTCAGCCCCTTGTTTCCCTAGATCACTAGGTGTCTGCTATTTGCCAGCAGCATTGGCTACAGCACTATGTTGTCAACCTGAGCATGAGCATGAATGCAGGGTGAGCATGTTCCTAAAATGTAGTCCTAGCTTCCCAAACTCAATCAGCACCTTTATGCACTCTTTCACTCAAACTCCCAACATGCAGTGCAGTAAGGAGAGGACATCAGATACATGTTACTCTTCAAAAGAGTTTTCACATGCCTTTCACACCTTCAAAGTTCTTCCAGTGATCTAATAATGAACTTTCATGAAGTTCTTGGAACTAATAAAAAGACTATATTTTTATATTCCTACTATGGTTCAAGCTCCAAAAACACTCTTCCTTGGTTAATGCCATTGGAAATGGACAGTGGAAGATTAACCAGCAACACCAGTCATGTTATTAGTGGCCTGTTCTCAGCGATATAAAACACATGCCACCTGCAAATCAAGAACCAAACACCCTATGAGTGCAATAGTTGTAAGTATACAGTGGGCTTTGTGAAACCTTTAATTTTATGAAAACATTACTTTCAGCTACCTTCTTATTCACAAGGGGTTGTAACCCCAAGCAGGCAGCTCCACATGTTTGATTTGTTACATTTTTTACACCAGATACTGTTTGTGACAAAACCTGGTCCCAGAATCAAACCGGGAATCTTCCACTTATTAAGCACATGTGTAAACCACTACATACACAATGGAGGCATTAACTTGAAATTGTATGAACGGTACGAAATCCAACCAACCATCTTTGATTGGAGGCACTTGGCTAAAAATAAATTAAATAAAATATGACAGTAAGAGCCATTAAATTTACATTTAAAGAGCGCCATAAAAGCCAGTCCTATGACTAATAAAATTAAATTAATCACTGAGCTACGTTTACAGGAAACACAACAAATTTACTTACAACCATACATGTACTATCTATATTATTCTGTAGATTATGTACAAATACGTACACATGTGACATACAGGTAAAGTGCTTGCAATGTACCCATCTCAACAATGTACACATGTAACGTGCATGTAATATACATGTAATCCCTGTAACATTTACCATGTAATCCCTATAACATACACATATAATGTATATGTAATGCACACACGAGGTACAGATCATTTAAACAATGTACCCATAAAATGTACATGTACCCTACACATGTCTAAACTTGTAAATGTAACATACATATAATGGATATGTATAAAGTGTGTAATGTGTAAGGTACACATAATATTGTCATTGATTTTGAGATCAGCTGATCACAGTGTACACCTTTAAAGCATCATCAGCCAGCGATTCTTCCTGTATTGACCAATCTGAAACCAATATTCATATAAAATGTCCTCTCAGTTCTTCTCTACCTCCTGACCACACTATGCTCATTGCTCATGCTCGCTGACTCATGCTCATTCATGTTCATTTCAAAAGTGCTGAATGGAGTTTAGGTGAATCAAATTCTTCTACACCAAAAAGGCTGAGCTTTTTTCTTTTCTTTTCTTTAACATATTATGTCACAATTGAATTGCTATGTTGAAACGGATAAACACAGAATGCCGTGTGGAAAACATTTCTTTACTCAAAGGCAGTTTGGAGAGGACAGAGGGTCAAGATGAGGTCAGTCAAGAAAAGTTTGAAGCAATCCTAAAGCACCTGCGGCAAAAAGCCCTTCAGACTAAACAAACGTCAAAAGGATAACATCTAGACAGGTGCAAAATGAGCCGGGGGGGGTTCAGACAGCTCATCCCAGCTGAACTGATAACAGTCCTTAACTTCCACTATGAGAATGGGAAGAATTATATAGGGGTCTTAATCTGGCTTTCTCTCTTCAGGCAGGTAGTGAATCTGTGGCACCCAGACAAGTTCAGAGAGGATCATGTTTAATCTTTCGCTGTATATGTAGGCATACTGTGTTTTCTTTTTCAAACAAGGAGTTCCTTTTCATACTAAAAAAAATTATAAAGGGATAAAATATTTCTTTCAGTAAATTTTACTGATTTTTTTGGATTAAATTCCGCATGATTTGATGATTTATTTATTTATTTATGTGAAGAAAGTTAAAGGTCAGCAGTCACTCATACTTTAAAGATGAAATCGTGTTATCTGGTTAAAACATGTGATTCATTGTGAGGACAGATGTTTCCATATTTTCATAAGACAAAACAGCGGAGTAAATACTCAACATCTTTCCCAAAAATGAGAGATCGTAGATTAGCACATGTCGTATTTAATTAAGTTTCCACGTTTTTGTCTCCCCCCCATCCTCACGCATGCTCAGTGTCTATCTTCGGCTGATTCACAGCAGCAGCAGCGTTGGAGATCCAGCGGTCCGACAGCACATGGATCCCCAGTGAGAACCTAGAGCTCTCCGGCCAGGAGGGGTAAGACTGCGTCCTTCATTGCTTGTAAAGTCGGTTACAGCAAAAGAAGGAGGCTGTGAGGAAAGAGAAAGATCACCGTAGCTGAAGTGCGATGGAGAAAAAGTGTGAAATGGACTGAGAGGCTCCATGGCCGCGATGACTCACTGGTGTTCAGTGCCGGCGGTTAGTTTGCGTCTGTGAGTTGAAATGACCGTTTAGAAGAAAATGTCGGCAGTGAGATTGAGGGCGACCTTTTTTCTTTTCCCGTTTCAATGTGAGCATTCAATGAATTTGAAATCATATTTCCTGCATCGGTGTACTCCAGTAAATAGCCTGTTGCATTCTTTTTAGCATTATAAGAAACGGTCAGATAAAAAGTGTGTGTGTTTTTTTTTTTTTTTTACTTGTCTGGAAAGCTGAGACCAGCTTACTAGCACCATGGACAGCTCCTTGTTTTAACGACCCTTTTGATTATGTAGGCCATACTATTAAAAACAACAACAACAACAACAACAACAGTAGTAAGAACAGTAAGCAAGGTCAATAGTGTTCAATTCTGATTTTAACAATAAGTGTTTAGTTGGGTTAAACCAGGCTGCTGGTTTACTGGTGGTTACAAGGGTATTTAAAAGTAGAATGGGAGGCAGAGCCTTCAGCTTTCAGGCCCCTCTTTAGTGGAACCAGCCCCCAGTTTGGTTTTGGACAGACACCCTCTCTACTTTTAAGATGAAGCTTAAATGTCTTTTTTGATAAAGCTTATAGTTAGGGCTGGATCAGGTGATCCTGGAATCTGCCTTAGTTATGCTGCAGTAGGCCTGGGCTGCCGGGGGCTTCCCATGATGCACTGAGTATTTCTTCTTCACCTTTTTTCACTTTTCTCTCGCTGTCATTGCTATTCTCTGGCTCCCTTCCACTGTCTTCCACCCCTCACCTCCAACTGTTCACAGCAGATGGCCGCCCCTCCCTGAGCCTCAGGTTTCCTCCTGTTAAAAGGGAGGTTTTTTTTCTTCCCACTGCCCCCAAGCACATGCTCATAGGTGTTTAAGTGATTGTTTGGTGTTTTCTTTCTACTATTGTATTTATATATTTTATATAAATAAAGCTGAATTGAATTGAATCTTAGAACTTATAATGAAGAATATCAGTGGACTTCCACGTACGTAGAGGACTGCTTTGTCAGTTTTTGTTAAAAAGTTTTCATTGAGCCTTAGGTCTCAGTCAGACAGCACTAGAGACCAGTCAGTGAATCCCTGACAACTGCTCTGGGGAAAAATGTCTATTTCCCAACACGTTGCTGAAGGTTTAGTCACAAATAGGGTGATGAACCAAAAACCTCCTTGTGAGTGCTTTTATCACATTGCTGCACTTGCCTGTAGTGTTTATGGAAAATGGCCACTTGTCTCCAAACACTCGCTGATTAACCACCAAGTGGTACTGAAACTTGAAAAATGCAACAAAAACCGGAGAGCCTTCAAAGTAAAAGTTGGGCCTTAGAACTGAAACTACTATGTTTTAAAAGCCCTGCACATACCATTAACCACCACAACGAGACAATCCTTTAACTCTGCTTTCAGTGTCTAGTTTTAGTTTAGCCCTTTAGCTTTATTCATTGAGGACCATCTCGGGGATGCCCTCTTCTCCACCTCTGGCTTTATTATAGGCAATTTCAGCACAGTGGGATTAATCAGAAGTGGCTCCCGTAGCTCTGACCTTACTAGTGCTTCAAAGTGTTCCTATTTAAAATTACTAGAGTATCAGTGTTTTAAAATTTAATTAACCAAAACGAACAAACAGTAAACTTTGAGTTATTGTGTTATGAGTGGCTTTTTTTTTTTTATCTTAAAGCATAGCTGAATTATTGAGCAGTGGTGAATGAACTACTGAGCTCCCTTACATAAATAAAAACACCGTTAGCACTGTCCTGCAATCAAAATTTTGCTAATGTAAAATTAAACTTCCCAGTATTCCAAATGTAGATAAAAATTTTTAAATATAAGCGCTCCAATTTTATACACTTGTTTATCATTAGATTTTTAATACTGCATCAAGTCAGACATGGTATTTTATAGCATTATAATTAATATTGCAACACGAAAAAGTGGGATAATAATAAATAACCAGTAACTATAGTTGTTATGTGAGTATATTATGAGATAAAAGTATGCCCTTGTATACAGCCCCACAATGTTTCTGTTTCAATGTTTCTATGCATACACCATGTATATAGTTTACTCACATATATGTATACATATATATTGCTTTTTTCCCATTTCTATATTGTTTCCTTTACTTTTGCACCTTTGTGGTCCACCTACTCAGTTTCGCTGTGCAAGAAACTGCACAATGACAATAAAAGCTCAAAAGTCTAAAGATGCTGCCACAAATGTGAAGGTTAGTAAATGTAATTGGTTTGTAATCACTGCTCTGCAGACACATTTAAAAGTAAAGGTGGAAATAAAAATATGTATTTGTTATTTTCTGAATTTGTGTTTTAGGGGGCTCATACGTCTAACTATCTCAACTTTACAATCAATTAAGGGTAATGTTCCAGTGAAAGATAAAACAGGGTATCAAACCATAGAAATAGACCCTTGGCTGGCAAAGTCTTCCCTTATTGAATTGTTTATTTGAAAGAAAATGTAGGCAAATGCTTTGCAAAACCCTTTTTCTCAGTGCTTTACATAGGATAAGATAAAAAACATGCTGCGCATCATGTTCAGCTCCAGCATGCTTTCTTTGTGTCTTAGTTTTATTTTTATCATATCAACTTACAGCTATAAAGACACCAAACAGAGATGTGGTATATTGGATCACTTTTGTTAGTAACTCATTATTTTCAGCTTAAGCAGCAAAGGAAGGTAATAATGTAACGTTACCTGAACAGGAAGTTCTTTCCATCATTTTGTCATTGCAAATTTAGTCATCAGGATTGATACTGCAGTCGGATTAGACTGCTGCTGTGCTACAGACTGAGTTCTGGCGTTTGTGCACAGCTCAGGGAAACAGTTTGAAGAATGAAATAAATCAACCCAACAGCCTTAGGAGAATAACAACAGAGGGACATGAATACAGTGTACACGCACTTGCATATGTGTGACTCATCCGTGGGTGGTGATAGAGTCACCTCAGGGCCGCGGTGGCCGTCAATCGTTCACATGCAGCAACAATAACTGGGGCAACCTGAAGACACGGGTGAAGGATTTATGACGAGTCTCTGCAGGGAGGGAAGGTTTTTATTGCAGGGAATCCATATTCAGCAGATAAACAATGTCTGTGTTCACAGCCAGGCAGCTGATATGTACACAAATCAGTCTGTTCAGAAGTACGGCTGGCTGTGTATCACCATTCTTATCGTATGAATTTCTATCTTTATTGTAGGTGTACAAGGAGAGAGATGGCTCTGTGCTCCGAGGCCTGTGCTTCTGGCTCAGGAGGAGAATCCTCCGGCAGTGAGGTGAGCTGCGCTAACACCGGTGATCATTCTGATCTGATTACAGCTGAAGTAGTGATTTTGGAGTTAGGCAGATGACAGGAAGCTCTCATAAAGAAAATGTTTGCGTGAAAGTCAGTGTAACAATAACAAAGTTGTAGCAAAAATAGTCTGAACATACCTGCTAATTACTTTGGCACTGTGACTGATGGATTGATAACTATATCTTGGAAACTAAGATAAATTAAAATATATACCAAACAAGTTGGCTCTACTCTGAGCCCATCACAGATGGCCGAACTTCTCACCCTATCTCTAAGGGAGAGGCCAGCCACCCTTCGGAGGAAGCTCATTTCTGCCGCTTGTATCCGCGATCTCATTCTTTCGGTCACTACCCACAGCTGGTGACCATAGGTGAGGGTAGGGTTGCAGATCGACCGGTAAATAACCTTAGAGATAAAGTGAGGAGTGGCCCTCTCTTTACCACGACGGACCAGTACAGCGTCCACATCACTGTAGCTGCAGCACCGATCCGTCTGTCAATCTCCCGCTTCCTTCTCCCGTCACTTGTGAACAAGACCCCAAGATACTTAAACTCTTCCACTTGGGGCAAGAGCTCGTCCCTGACCCCGAGTGGGCACTCCACCCTTTTCCGACTGAGGACCATGGCCTCAGATTTGGAGGTGCTGATTCTCATTCCCACCGCTTCACACTCGGCCGCGAACCGTTCCAGTGCAAGCTGGAGGCCATCACCTGATGAAGCCAACAGAACCACATCATCTGTGAAAAACAGAGATCAGATGCTGAGACCAACTAAGCGAAAGCCTTCCGCCACTTGGCTATGCCTAGAAATTCTGTCCATAAAAATTACGATGATTCATGTGTTTATTTCAAATGTGATTTTTTTTCTCTCGTTTTGGTCACAACTTCCTTCCAGGCAGGTTCAAGCGGTCTTCGTTTTGGGGTTCGTTCCTATCTGCACCACTTCTATGAAGAGTGCTCCTCCTCCATGTGGGAGAGAGACCCGGAGGATCGGGGGTTCGTCCAGAGCCAGAGGTCAGCCCTGTGGTGGAACTCAGCAGTCTGGAAGGTAAAGCTACTGTTCTCTGTACATACCATGACATGGTTTTCAAATGTTTCCTGTGGCACAATAAAGTGCTACATTTCCTCTTTTACTGTGTTTCTGGTACTAAAATTTTAATTCCAAAAATAATATTGATAATATTAACTTGACCTCGGATCATTATATGACTCACAGCTGCATCAAATAATTCAGGGGATGAATTCTTTTATGAGGCTTACGGTGTAAAAAAAAATTAGATGTGGTCCTTTCACAGCTAAATCCATGAAAAGTTAAAATCAATATACATTTTTACTTCATTGGCTTTTCAGTCGAATTGACTTTTGAGTTCTTCCACATAAAACTGGACAGCCCTCGTCTTCACACATTGATGCCCTTGTCACTGTCAGCCCCGTGGTGCCCTGAGGAGTGAATGTGTCACCTCTGTGACACATGGTGCCTCTTACTGGCAGTTTGCAGCTGCCAGCAGTGAGCTTCACTGGTGTAATAACTCTGCAAAGTGTCTATATTGTTTATATTTATATATTTAGGTATAATTACAGAAATTAAACCATCATTACATATTTTCACAACTGTGGCCAAATGCTATGTACATGGGCACTTTATTTCTGCAATACTAGTTAGTTTCTCGTATAAACTGATGCTTTAGATCACAGGTGTCAAACTCCAGTCCTCGATGGCTGGTGTCCTGATACTTTTCCATGTGTCCCTGCTGCAACACACCTAAATATATTTACTAGGTCATTAGCACGACTCTATAGAACTTGACTGCATGCTGAGGTGGTAATTCAGCTATTTGATTCATGTTACAGCAGCTCGTGAGTGAATGAACATGGTGCAATAAAAGTATTTTTAGAAGTACATTTTTCCAAACTCTTACATTTACGTACATTTATTTAAATTTACTTAAGTAGGGTTAGGGGTTACCAGGGACACATTTAAAAGTTTCAGGACACCGGCCCTCAAGGACTGGAGTTTGACACCCCTGCTTTATATCCTTCAATAACATTTCTGCTGGGCTAAGGTCATTGGTTTGACTCCTTCCTTTAAAAGCAAATGATTTATATATCATTTATTTTTTTTATTCAGGTATCAGATAAATGTCTGGACATTTTTAATTACAACATGCTAGTAAACTTCATAAAACTGATTGTTCCATTGATAACAAGCTGTCAGACTTAGCATAATGAGCCCAAATCATGACACTACCTCCACCATAGATGGTTTCATAGATGATATAAGGTTGTCATGTTGTAATCGTGTGTTTTCTAATCTCTTGAGCCTTCCTATTTAATCCCGGAGGTTCTATTTTGGTCTGACGTGTCCCATAAAATATTTTTTCCAACAGCCTTCTGGCTTCTCCAGGTGACCTGTAGTATTATTGTTGAATGTGATTCTGATGTTGGACTGATAAAAATGATTAGCTAGTGTTTAAAAAGGCCTTTTGCTGTTTACCCTGGGCTCCTTTGTGACTTTCAGTTGATCTTGATCTTGCTGGTTCGTATACATACAGGGAAAAACCCAACAATCTTATGACCCCCTTTGGCAACAGTGGGAAGGAAAAACTCCCTTTTAACAGGAAGAAACCTCCGGCAGAACCAGGCTCAGGGAGGTGTGGGGCCATCTGATTGCTCGGTTGAGTCCAAAGTCTCCATCTATTAAAATCGATTAAAATTTGGCATATGTCCACAAGGGTCTTCAAGGTCAACGTAATAATTTCAAAAACTAACAAAAAATTTGATGCTTACAAATTTGGTGTGTTTTGTCAAAATATAGAAAGTACTGTATTATTGTTTCAAATATCATATTTGACCTCTGACCTTTCCTTCAAGGTCAGTAGGTCGATCTGAAGGTCAAAAAGATACTAATGATATTTACTATTTAAAATTATGTCTCTTACTGCCATTGTTTGTATGGCCGACATATAGACTTATAGGGGGTGATATATGAGGATTCCTAGTATCATGACACATTGGACCTCCGATGTCACTTTTTTCTTTCATATTCACCCCAAAATGTGTTACATCTTTAAAGAAAGTATTGTCAAGAGAACGAGAATGAGCTGGCTATGTACTTAGAAATCAACTGTAGAATCATTATCTGATAAGCCGAAGCCGATGTCCATTTATTTATCTATTATTTTTCTTCATTACCTACTCCTACATAATGTTTGTGTAATTAAAGCATTCATCCATCATGCTGTCCTTTTCTAATTTTTAGTGCACTGCAAACATGTTAAAGCACAAAGGAAAGAAAGCACAATACTATTCCCTTAAAAGTAAATGTTGCCCAGAGAGTAAGCTGCCTTGGCAGAGGTTTGTGCTCTCAGGGTTGTATAATTTTGCATCATTTTCCCAAATACACGAATGGCCAAATATTATACTTTTTTAATCATTGTTTTTCTTCTACTTTGAGGTGAAATTCTGCTGATGTTTCAGGTTGAAAATGCAGAAACTTCTCTCTGCGACTTTACTCATATAATGTAGTGCATACAGTGCATTTTTAAGCTTCATGATGAACAGCAGTCATGTGCTGGTATTTGTAAAGCAGCGGGATTCCAGGTCAGCACGTGTGGCAATTGGGATTTTTCTGCATTACAAACAACAAAATGACCTTTCTTAACAAGTAGTGAAGAGCACTGAGCAAACAGGGCCACCTATACAAAAATTAAATAGCCATATCTGCAAAAATGACCACCTCAGCTTCCTTTCTTTACCCTGTCTACCCTTAGGTGTCCTTGGCCCTGGGTGTCCTCATCTTGACTGCAGGTATTGCCACACTGTCGGTCGGCTACTCCACTCCTCCCAAAATCGAGTCGTTCGGAGAGGGAGATCTGTTCTTCGTGGACACGCAGGCCATCAGCTTTAACAAGGGGCTGCATTTCAGCGCCGCAGCCGGGATTGGGCTCTCCTGCCTCGGCTCTGCCCTGGCTGCAATGGGGGTTGTTGTTTGGATCCTCCCCAAGGCCAACTTGAAAGAGAGGCTGTCCCACAGACCAGGGGGAGTAGAAGGGAGAAGAGAGTGTGGGTCAAAGTGGAGGGGCTTTAAGGATGTTAGGGATGTGGTCACCAAGCCACCTGGTTCAGAGGAGGGGAAGGTGCCCTTTACTTTGTCGAAGGTGGAAAATGTGCAGCCCGCTTCTTAAAAAAGATCACGACTGAGCTATAAGGCTTTTGTTCTAGTCCTGGGGCCTTTTTTTTTTTTTGCATGGTCTTAACTTCTTGTCTTACCTCTGTCAAAGGAAATGTGTTATTTCAACATGCAGATTGTTCAGATGGAGGCTGTTTTGTCACCTCAGTATTACAGTTAGACCCCTGCAGTTTGATTGGATTGGACTGGATTGGATTGACTAGCCTCTCTGTAGTTCTAGGGATGTGATTTTGTTTACAAGCACCAGTCAAGAAAACCCACATATATTATGATTTAGTGAAAAAAACACATAAATAAATACATTAGAGGATGTTAAAAAACTTAAAAAAAAAACCTCAGATTTACATTACACATATAAAACCTACATTTGTTGTTTGTTTTTTTAAAGATACATAGCAATGATCTGAAATGGCAAGAAGAGCCAAATCCTCTCCCCTCCCCCGCAGCAAGGAGCGAAGCCTTGCATGAAGCATGAAGAGAGTTTTGAGGGTCTGGACAGACTGGCCTTTTCCCTCCGAGTGGCTCTAATCTTACAAATATGTCATTCAACTCGATGCCAACAGTGTTTTGGGAACATTTAACACTCTTTTCCAACCGTCTTTTGTTATCTGCACCGAGGCTGCCAAACCAACAAATCATTGTTTATTTAGAGCTGATGAATAAAACATTTTCAATCAGCTTCATGATTGGGCTTTTTGCACATGAAATCATTCAGTGTCATTTTGTCGTTCAGAGTGATGCCCAGGTACCTGTAATGGCTCACTATCTAGGTGTAGCTGTGGATTCGATGAAAGTGGGTGCAGAGACAGAAAGATTTCAGAGAAAGCTCCTCTTTTGTTTCTGAGTGAGTATATGTCATCGCACAAACTGACAAAATTATCTGAAGCTGGACCACGGTTCACTTCATGGTTTGAAAGAGGCTGATAATCACCAACGATACCAACGCTGGTGTTGTTGCTGGATCGATACTAGAACGATAGGACCGATAATGTGTTTGTGTTGCACAGCACTGCAAAGAACCTCAGTCCAAACGTTAATAGTCATTGCAAAAATAACAAAGTGAATAAAACACACCCATGTGGTGATCCTGTTGAACTGTAGACATGATAAAAGATGGATGTCCGTACCGTGACTTCATCAAGCCTCCAGATTAGCACTTTTGGCATCTTGGTGTTTTCAAACTGGATGCGCCCACTGATTGATAGCTCTGACCACGAAACTGTACGCTTACAAGCCATTAGCCAATACTTCATAACATTTTCTGAAACTTAAAATGACCATAATTTACTAAATGAACTTGCTCTTTTCAATATGCCTAAAAAAACAAGTGATTGAACCAGTAAGCTCACAGCTATCACCTCCTTGTAGTGAAAAGACTGCAGGTTCAAGGCCCATCCAGCACTGACTATGTCCATCTTTCGGGTTGTCATCAGGGCTTCAGACAAGGTGTCATCAGACCTCATTTTCAGTAACCCAACATATAGTACATTTGCAGTATTTCAGAAAGCCTGTGTGTTTAGTATGAGACTGGATGCTGTCAAAAAATGAAAAGAAGTCATAAGCATGAACATAAGTGTGTCTTCTTGACCACCGACCAGATCCAGAAATGTGGTGTGGCATCTACTGCCTCCATCTTTACTTCTCTTTGTTTAATATGTTGAAAAGCTTTCAGAGAAGATAAGCTGTAGAGGTATTTTTAGGCCCCAAGACTTGAACCATAAGGCACGTAGTTATCGTAAACACCTCGTAGTGCAGCATAGAGACATAGCTGTTGACCGGGTAGACTGTGTTTGTCCACTAGCATTAAGAAAATACACTCAGTTCTTAGAAATGTATGTTTTTATTCCTCCTATTTCATGTTGTTTTTGCCTTGTGTTTTGTATTTTTTTAAATAGCGGTACTGGCTTTCAAAGTACTTAGTGATGCTGGTGATGATGTTGTGTGAACCGCACGTGAATCCTGGCTCTCCGCTCATAAAGAGAATCATTAACAATTATGTACCTGCAGCTACACACATCTACACATACGCTCAGCCTGCTGTGTTGAACACAGTCACACGCACTCTCACTCTCACCCACACACCCACACGCACAGACGCACAGTAATTTGTGCTCCATTGACAGTATCACCTCCCTTCTCCACACTGTAATCTGGCTGCGTAATTGCCTGCAATCTGTGTCTCCAGGCAACAGTTGGGCTTCAAGTGCTCTATTTTGAACTCCGAACAAAGACCCTTTTCTGATTGGTCCCTCACGTCCCCTCTCGTTATTTTTACTCCAATCATATTTTGTGTTTACAGGCGGACACAGTAGCAGCGAGTGAGTGGTGAAGGGCTGAGGTGAGAGGAATTTGCACTGGCACCTTAGAAGCCCCCTGTCTGATTAGGTCCTCAAATCTCAGAAAAATAGACTACAACCTAGAAAAAAAAGTATTTAAAAAAAAAAGAGCAACCCCGATGTCCTGATATAATGGGAGTAATTTCACTGAGTGTTTCTATTGCTGTTTCATTGTTTTGTTGTGTTACTGGTTATGGTGAAGATAATGGAGTAAAATGGGGTTTCGTGTCACTGGTGCAAAGAAAATCACCAAAATAAACTTGTGATCTGCAATTTTTAAAGTGTTTGGATCCATTTAATAAATCTGTGCCACAACGACACGTATGCAAAGCTATCTTTAAACTGGAATAATTCATATTTTCTTGTCTCTCTGTTATGTCCGACTGTATTACAGCAGTTAAACCATTTATGCTTAAACCCAATATTCACTTGTTGTATGTGTATGCTTGGAAGCAGGCATAGAGATATGACCTAAGTGGTTTCTATGGAGCTTGTAACGATAGAGGAAATGTGTCCACTGTGTCTCATGTTTACAAGAAGGAGAGTATTGGAGAGGTGGGGCAGAAGCAATCCACAGGATGTACAATCATGATCTGAACAAGAGATTTTGATTCTGTGTGACATACTTGTTTAACCTTACATACGTCAATCTAACCAGTAAGTGTCAAGAATTAGACTGCTATATGCTGTATGCGGATGTCTTCTGAAGAAGAATCCCACTGGTTTGATGTTCTTTGGCTTGCTCAGGATGTCTTTCCAGTTTTTTCTTCACATTGATTTCGGAAGGAAAGCTCCCTGAATCAGAACAAAGATTTATTTCCTGTTCAGCTCCTTTTTGTTTGTTATGAACTTAAGCTGCTCGGCAGTCGGTGGTCTTGCGCTGACTGCACGTCTCTATTGATGTTCTAATTTTATTATTTCAATGTGGGTGAAAGTGCCTTTTCTTTGGAATGCTCTTTCATAATTGCCACAGACTGTGAAGGGCAAATTAGCGAGACAGTGCATGCTGCTAGGCAACAAATACAACCAAGAGTGCACTCGTGCGTGTTTTTTTAAGCCCCGGTGTAATAAATCATAAAGAAAGGAAAATAAAAACAGTTAGATTAGGTTTGTGAAACCAAAGTCAAGTCTAATAATTAGTCTGGATTCCTATTTTTTAAACTCATAAAATTATGGATCTTTTCTACACACTTTTACTAAGGAGAAGTTTTTTTCTTTTCTTTTTTTAATGGGTATTAAATGTTGGAACAGCTTATTGTTACTTTTAACCTCCATCCATCCATCCATTCGCTTCCGCTTATCCTTTTCAGGGTCGCGGGGGGCGCTGGAGCCTATCCCAGCTGTCATAGGGCGAGAGGCAGGGTACACCCTGGACAGGTCGCCAGTCCGTCGAAGGGCCAACACACAGGGACAGACAACCATTCGCACTCACATTCATTCGCACATTCACACCTAGTGGCAATTTGGATTAATCAATTAACCTATCCCCTCAAGCTGCATGTCTTTGGACTTTTAACCTATTTTAACTAATTATTTTATTAATTTTTAACAAAGCAAGTATTCTGGTTTTATCCTCTTTTAGGAAATTGTTTTAGTTCTCCAAGTGATAGACCAAGCTGAGCTCCAACAAAGAGCTGAACATTGCACTGAGAAGCAGCAGCCTGCTTCTCTTTAACACGTCTAACAGCACACTGTCTGTCTGCAACAAACAGATACAGCATAACTTTGTTCACTTTGTCACTTGCCCCTTTGGTTCTGTCAGTAGTGCTGTGCAATACTGCAAATTGTGGTATTAATCCAATAACAAATAAATACAAGGTCACTGTTGCCAATACCAATATTGATACTGGTGCTTTTAACCTGTAAAGGCAAATTATGTAGAGGAGACCAGTGTGTGATGATTTATGAGATGAGTCATCACACATTTTAATGGCCACTAAATCACTTTGATTTTACTTTCCACAATTATTAGTTAGCACAGTAATACACAAATGCTAAAATGCCTAAAAAATAATGAGAAAAAAAGAGTTTTTCATGTATTTAGAAAGTGGATTTTTTTAGAGACCTGGAATGTAAGTGTGCATGTCTCTGAAGCACTTTGGGTCGACTTCGTTGCTTAAATGTTTAAGTGTGCTTTGGGCAATAAACAAAATAGACGTGACAGTCAACACTAAAAGGTTCAGACATTTTTCATAGTCCATGTTTGAGGTCTGTTTGAACTTACAGGATAGAAACAATGTATCATATCACATTAGTATTCATCTAATACCAATACCGGTATTGATACTATTAATATTGATACTCCCACCTCTTGTTAAGCTGATGAATTGGTGATTGTTAGCCACTTCCAAACCATGAGGTGGACATGATGTTTGACATTACAATTATTTAGAATAAACCCCACTAACCTGCTCCTGCAAAGGGTCCATTGCAGTTTTGTCTGATATACACTGCATTGTGTTGCAGCTTTTTAAAATGCATTTTATTTTATTTATTGATTTTTATTGAGGATGCTCAGTACACTGCCTAGGATGGCTTCCTCGCCTATTCTCCATTTCCATATGACGAAATATACTGTTTAAAGAAAACTATATATAAAGACAGATATAGCATCTGGCTCCAAAAAGTGATATTGGCATGTTTTGTATGGCCAGCAGGCAATGACTCCTCTGGATGCCAAAAAAGAAAAGATGGGAAAAAACAACCCGAGGGCTCAGTTGATCTGTGACCTCAGTAAATGCTTCTATAATTTATGCATCGATAGTTCTACAAAGCAGGTTATACTTAGCCTAGCTTTTGTAAGTCACTACCTTTTGAGCAGGCAGTACTTCCCAGTTTATCATGTATCTAAAATACTACAATGACTACAAGTTGTTAAGTCCAAGATTTCAAGATCTACAGAGAGTCTCATAGTCTAGGTCTGCCAATTACAACCACCTGCCTTTTGACAAGCATCTGCTGTTGTAGTATGCTTGTCTGCCAAACCACTGGTACTTCCATATAAGTCTGAAACCGTTATGTCCATGCACAAAGGAAAATGTTGGAAAAGTAAAATGTGGATGGTGACAAAGTTAACATAATGCAAATGCGTAACTTTTATATCCAGGGTGTCCAAACATTTTTCCAAGAGTAACATATTCATTCATGGAAAATCCCCCAGGGGCCAACAGTCCTTCTTGCCTTTTTTTTTTTTAAACATAAACATTATGGTGCTGCCACCATGAGATGAAAAGAGAAATTACACTTTTTTAACAGGAGATAAATAATACATTTTAAGGTAGTGTATAGGGGCCATATAAAATCTGACCTAGGGCCACGATCAGCCCCTGGGCCGGACTTTGAACATTCCTGTTCTGTATGGTCTGGGCTGCTGGGTGGAATCTGGTGGTTTATAGAGTCACCTAACAAGCAACAGATCCCAGTTCAGTCCAGAGAGGAGACACAAATGCCTCAGGGTTTGCTTCATGAAGGGCATCCAGTGTAAAAATCTGTCAGTATCAAACACAGATCGACCTCCTTTGCTGACCCCTTTGTGAGTGCAGCCGAAATGAACGTTTTGTCTCACTAGCTTTAGGTACATGAAGGTGTTCAATGTAAAAGCCTTTGTTATTAATGTGATTACATATAAATCTGTAATTTTAGCTTTTTAATAATAATAATGGATTGGATTTATATAGCGCTTTTCAAGGCATCCAAAGCGCTTTACAATACCACTATTCATTCACTCTCACATTCACACACTGGTGGAGGCAGCTACAGTTGTAGCCACAGCTGCCCTGGTTCAGACTGACAGAAGGAGGCTGCCATATCGCGCCATCGGCCCCTCTGGCCATCACCAGTAGGCAAGTAGGGTAAAGTGTCTTGCCCAAGGACACAACGACCAGGACAGAGAGCCCAGGGATCGAACCGGCAACCTTCCGGTTACAGATGCGATTCCCAACCCCCTGAGCCACGGTCGGACGGTTTTTATTTTGGCAAGTACCAAAAGTTTACATTTCAAAAATGTTGGCATTAATTTGTGGAGTGTTTTCCTGAACAACATGAAACCGAGCTTACAGAGCTCAGAGCTTATTTTCTGAAATAATCCAAACGCCTTTGAGAAAAACCCACCAGTGTTTGGTTGGGGGAACCAGGGCTATGCTAACAAACTGTAGCACTTTATGCACTTCCTACTTTGACTGGTTTTGCTAGGTTCTGCTTCCAGATCTACTGTAAATACTCACACCAGAATAATCAGAGAAAGCTTACCTGCTAATAAAATTCCTACTATATTTACAACATTCAGTGTAACATATTATAATGCTAAAATGTATTAATTAGTATTAAATATGGTTTATAGTTGAGGGGGATGGTATTGCAAAAAGAAAAGACATAAAAGGCCTTCATGCCCAGATACTTCCTCCAGCTCTTCTGGGGCAATGCAAATGTGTTCCCAAGGCAACAGAGAGACCTAACTTCCAGTGTGTCCAGGGTCTGCCCCGGGGTCTCATCCCAATTGAACCTGGCTCGAGGTGCTAAGGAGGCACACTAGTCAGAGGCAACATAGCTGGTTCCTTTTGATGTTGGCGAGTAGCGGCTCTACTCTAAGCCCCTCCCAGACAGTAAAGCTCTTCACTCTGTGCAAGACACCCTACAGAGGAAGTTCATTTCTGCTACGTGATCCAGTAACATGTGGTGAGTTTTACAGAAAGGCAAGCAGAGCCTATTCTATATGTAAAGAACACGTAACTACATCTACTTCTTGATTTTTTTAACAATATAACAGTGTGTGACATGGCTAACTGTCGATATCTACAGGGGTGATTCAAAGTAATAATGAAAAATGAAGTTGGAGTGTTGGCAAAACAACTTGTAAAACATATCTGATTTATTTAATAGACGTCTTATTGGCGCCTGTCTCCTCTCCGTCGTCATCTGCTAATGTTCTAAAGGCGCGATTAAAAACGTTTTCACACTCTGTCTTCTCTACATTACATATGTTGGCCAAGGCTGTTAGCAAGAAGCTGAAGCTCGTCGACTTGCTAATGCTAGCTGTGTTTCCATACGAAGCTCAGATCATAACTCTCAGAGCAGTGAAAACAGGACCGCTCTCCTATCAGCTTACTGTCAAACAGCCGTGGTTTATCCACAATGCGCATGCGCAAACCAGAAACAAGCTGCTGGCCTCTCAGTTTGCACAGTTCAAGTGATTGTTAACGGGAGGCTGATAGAAGCTTTGTTACAACAAAGAAATAATCAAACAAAGAAAACTTTTCTTGCTTTTTGTGATAAGTTTATATGTTGATAATGATGGTACCCTAGGATCACCAACCATAAAG